TGCATCTTATACAGAACAACATTATTAATCGTGTAAAGTAATTTTTTAATATTCCAAAACATTATTTATTCTTTAAAAAAAAATAGTAATAATAATAATGAGAGATCGTTGATTACACGAAATAATTTTTTTTAACAATGTTATATCGCCACAGATGATTGTAAAATATTATAATGTATCATAAAACAGCACTCTGTCTTAAGATTATTTTTAATGAATTTATAATAAATTCTAGTTTCGCTAGGAAATCATCATTATTTTTTTTTTTTTTTTTTTTTTTATATGGAACATCATCATCTCACGTGTACAATATTCTTCGCAACGACGATACAAATCATTTTGATCAGAAAAATAAAATACAATAAGCGATAAATTAATTGCTGCAATAATATGCAGCGTGTATTAATCTTTGTAGAAATAAGGAAATACAAAGAATCGGAGCTAGAAAGTTGTTTTAACAATTTTTTCACAGCTTCGAAAAAAAAAAAAAAAGAAATTACAAGCATCATTACAAGTACGATTAGAAAATAAAATGGTATATAAAGATCGATTTACATTCTTATGATTACAATAATGATACAAGATATAACGATTGCCCTACTAATTAGCTACCATCATTAATAACCATTATTAATAACCATTGGATTATTAATCTTTGGTATAAAACGAGTTCGTTTGGCACGTCATTGGCACAAGAAATAAATCTTAAATTGTAATAATTAATCATCAGGAACTTCAGCTTATATAAAATTCGAAATTTTTTTCCTTATATATACTTAATTTCATATAAATTTAAGATACGAGCTCAAAAATCAATAAGCATAGGTGTATATATATATATATTTATATATACTTAACAAACAAAACAATCACAAGATTCAGAACACTGATTGGATAAAAGGGGAAGAAAAAAAAAAAAAAACAAATTATCGACACTTTTTTCCAAATACTGATCAATAGCAAAATCGTTCAATTCGATTATGGAGCACTTGGTGTTCCATCCACGATACAATCTGAATATTAAAAAAATTATTGATTAATCCAATTTATCATAAATTTTGCCTTATTCTTCTTTCTCTTAAATCTCTATTTATCGAGATACGAGTAAAAACCAACAAACTCTAAGAAATACTTCCACGAAATATTTCTTTTCCATTTTATTCTTCAACTTATCTATCTTGTCTTAACTGTTGCGTAATGGCCACCAACGAAGCAATCCATAAGATTAAAATATAATATTCTCTCTCTCTCTCTCTCTCTCTCTAATCGCAATAACTAATTGGCTACTTATTATATCATATCTATAGCCGACGATTATCATAATTAAATCCCTCAATAATAAATCGCTTAAAGTCTTCGAAAATTGTCTCCAAATTGCGGTTTACTTTCCGCGTATATCGCATTCTTTTGATACAACGCGGAATTGATCGGATTTTCGAACGAGAATCTTCCATCGAACTTCGACACGGGGCTGAAAAACGACTCGTTACTCTGAATTTGCTGCGAATTCTTAATCGCGTGATGATTGTTCACGTATTTACAATCGTTGAAAATTCTATTTGACACGTCCGCGATATTTCCGGGTTCGCGGCGATAAATCTCCATCGGCAACAACTCGGGCGAGAACCAATTGAAATTCTGATTGATCGTCATCTGGTTCACATCTGTCGACGGGAATTGTTGCGAAAAGTGAGCCAAATTCGATTCCTGCCGCGACGAGAATTCTCGCCCGCTTTGCAAATTGTATCCCGACGGATTTTGACTCGGATATTGGACGAAAGTACCGTTGTTTTGCTCCCCGTTATTCATCCCAAAATTCTGATAATAATTAGTGTACTGATAACAGTTTGAGAACCGATGATGATTAGATTCGTTCAAAGATTGTGAATTGGAGGGAAAATTATTTTGTGACACGTGGTGAACGTTGTTCTCCGCAGGCTCGCTCTTATAAATATTTCTTTGATCGTAGCTAACGCAATTTTTATTGTCATTTTCGCTTGCGATCTTCAATGTTTCGGAGAAATTTGCGACAAGACCGTCTGTCGGATTCCAAACAGATTGTAATTTATTCGTAGGTAATTTTGATACATTGAAACTGTGAAATCGACACTGGCAAGAGCATTCTAACTTACACTTGTTAACCAGATCGCAAGGGACATTTGTTAGATTTTTAGCAAAATTTTCGATACTGTGCAAAGCCTCGTTAGAATATCTTTGCACGTCGTTCCATTTGAAGTTCTTCAATCGTTTACCTTTGTTCAAATACGTCAAATACGTGCTGATCGCGGGAAGAATGGCGTTCGATTGATCGTGTTGTACGCAATTCTTCTTGAAGTGTTCGTGTAAAAAAGATTGGTCTAAACTGTCTCTTAAATTTCCATTGATATCGCAAGTTTGATTAAAATTTTCTTTCGTGCTTTTCTCCTTGCTCCTCGCGAATTCTATCAAAGAACAATTGGAGCAAAGTATGCTTTTCGATTGGCATTTCTCGACCTTGCACTGATTTCCTGGGTTGCCGAGATTTTTTACCGGGCTTGAGATTGCAGCTTTTATCGGCCGACCTTTTTGAATCGATGAACCGATTAATTTCTGCGATCGTTGATTGTTTATTATGTTCGATCGTTTGTCGATGGCCTTCTGTTTCGTTCGAGCCACAACTTTTTTCGTTTTAGCCGGTTCAATAAAGGTTTTCGTTATTTGTATGTTGCCCTCCTCGTCGCACGTCCCACATTCTTCGAACTGTAGATCGTTAATAATCAATACATTTATTAAACGGGGAATCATAATTTTGTAATTTTGAATTTGACGAAAGAAGTTCAATGTTTGTAAAATTTGAAGCTATTATATTTAGTAGAACGCGATGATCTTTCGATAACCTTTTAAAAAATGTTTTCGAGATTATAATTCAATAATAAATGTGGCAATACGATGTTTAACGTAATGTAATTTTATAATACAAAACCTATTTCGTTCGCGTGGTATGACAGAAAATGAGTATGAAATTTATTGGAAAATTAACAATTAATTAAATTATATTTTCTCATACTTAAATTTTTGCTATACCTTTTCAATTATTAAAATAAAATACTAATACATTTACTTATTATTAATTAAATTTCATTTAATTCAAATATAATTCTGGAAAAATCAATAATAAAAATTATTATTGAATAAATATAAATATTTTTATCAATCTTAATATTCGGTAATTAATAACATAATTATTTGTTAATAGTAAATTTATTTCTAAAAAGATTAAATTTTATTTAAACACATATCCTTTTTCAAAATTAATTCTACTCCAATTGTATTAAATTAACAATACTCTTAATATAACTAAAATCTAGTAACTCCAAATTGCAGTGCAATTAAAATCCGCCTAAATCCCTAAAGAATTCCTAAACAAACAATATTCTTTATCGTATGGAGCAATAAAATCAAAGCAAATGGAGCACATCTGCACTCAACAATGGAAAAATAATGAAACAATTGATTGTAAATTTCCCATAAAGAAACGATAAATTAAATAAATTTGTTACAGATAATTACGTTCAATAGTTACGAACCATTTCTGCCTTGGCCAAGTAAATCCATAGTTTCCGCCACGTGCTGAATTTATTTTGTTCGCTGAAATTGTAGCGCATTTCCTTCGAGGCGTACCTTGTTGCCAAGGGACTCCGATAGTCACTGTATTCACTGTTCTCGATCGTCGACGAACTCATTTTCACCCTTTCTCAATTCACTTGATTAACGATACGATAATCGAAAAATATTTCGTATTGTACGAGAACGAGGAAACACGCGATCAGCTGATTCACTCGACACATTCAATACTGCGCATTCTCTTTAATAAACGCTGGCGCTCGCGATGCCTCTTGCGGTAGAAATACGAACTAATTCATTCAAAACTACCTTAATGTGTCAAAAAGCAATTTTCAATAATTTAAAGTTAATTCTCAATTTATTTTAAGAGAATTCTTCGTATTATATCGTTATTTACAAAATACTTCGAAAAAAATAATTGCGATGATCTTAAATAAATTTGAGAAAATATATGGAAATAAAATAATTAATCGTACAATTAGATTTAATTTTTTTTTTTTGTTTTTAATAGATATACGTAAAATATTATAAAATGTAACGTAATTCTAAAAAAATTTAGGCAGATTGAAGCTCGCTCCGTTACTATGGTTACTATTCAATAAATGAGAAACGATTGTCTTTTTTTTTTTTCCTTGAAAAGGAGAGACGAAATGACAACGTGGATTCATCAAGATATAAACTGCAGTAAAAGTGATTTAACGTTTTCAATATCTACGTAATGTATCCGATTCCCGCAAATCACAGTGCCATTTGTAGACACGAGTTAACAAGGGAAAGTACCCACGTTCTATATTCTCATGAGGCCATAATTGACCGATGTCATTGTTCTCTATGCGCGAAAGGAAAATCGTATTGCCACTGATGACGATTTGTAAAACATTGACCTCTCTTCGCCAAATTCGTATTGTTGTTTTTTTTTCTTATATTTATATTTAATAATATTAATAATACGATGATATTTTTCTTTTAAATTAATTTGGAGTAAATCTATCTATTTATTTTATCGATTCGTTTATATTTCATTTTTGTCGTGAGACTATTTTCAAAATTACTTTTAAAATAAATTTAGAATAAATTTATTTCTTTATTTTATTTTACGAAATTATTATTATTATTATTTTTTTTTAAATATCGATGTAATAATCGTTATACATACCACGTTATAAGGTGTCATATTTGCATTAGCCCACTCTATATTAACTTCACAATTTTTGAAGAGCGTCGCCGATTCAGGCACTAATCTTCTTCGCGCCATGGCGGCCCCTCGATGGGTTTTGTACGATACCAAAACGTAACAAACAAAACCGTTCAGGTTCCTATAAACGGCTACTTTATCTACATCATCTGTCACTTCGTAAATTCTCTAAAGACAAAAAAAAAGATACATATTCTCTCTCACAAAACGATGGAAAAGAAATGAAATAAACAATGAAATAAATAAATATATATATATATATGTATGTACATATAAACAATAGAATTAAAAAAAAAAAAATCATTAACGAACCTTGATGATGGATTTAGAGTCGATGATTCGAGGCAGCTGATTAATGTAGAGTCGACAATTATTAGTGCTCGCAACGACACCGATCTTTTTTCCAGGATAAATTTCATGCTGATCTAATTCTTTAACAGCACGAGCTGCCTCCTCTTCGGTGGTGTACATGATAAAACAGTAACCCCTATTTGTACCAGAAAATTCCATCATCAAGCGTAACTCATAAATCGTTCCTACAGTACTGAATATACGAACAATTTCGGGTTCGTAATAATCTCGTGGTATACTGCCGACGAAAATCTCGCATTTCGGTCCAGGAGGAGGTCCTGTCCATCCTGGAGGCGGGCCGAGTTTCCTTTGACCATTAACTTGGGTTAATGTCAACTTGGAATCGGCTACGAATTTTAATAATTTTAGATTCGTTTCCATTTGCTCCTTCATGTTCGGTATTTTGTCAGCGATTCGTGATTGTATGATGGACTTCCGATTGTTCAGGCATACTAGATTTAATTAGAGAAACCGATTATTTTCGATATTTCATTTAAACAATAAGTATATTGTCGTATTTTTTTTTTTTGTAAAAATATATATATATATATATTTGTCAGATTTCGTAAATATGAAATAACACGAAAAGTATTATGTATTATGGTATACACAGTAACGACTTGATATAATAATTAATTATATACTTGTATATAAAATCTTATCTTATGTAATATTATTAATCAATAAAATAACTATGCGATTGATTTGATACGTCTGGCCTCGTGTATCATATTTCCAGAACAAATGACAATTGTAAGGAAACAATCAGGCTTGCAACGGTAATTTTATATTACAATAAAATGTAGGAAAAATTATCTGTAATAAAAAATAAAAAAATAAAAAAAAAAAGAACACGATCATAATCGAATGGTATAAATTCTATTATTATTATTATTATTATTATTATTATTATTATGATTATGATTATTATTATTATTATACACGATATTCAGACACGATCGAAGAACGAAATGATAATTAAAAAATGATGAATAACCAATTTATTAATTCACATACAGATCGAATTCGTTTATCACTTTTTACAAAATTAATTATATTCTCGATTATTATCGACTCACCTAATTGTCGTTTCGTATCGTCTTCTTTGTTAACCTTATTGGTAGTCTCGTTTGATTGTTGAATCGTCGAAACAGATACCATTGTTCCTTCCCGATTAATCTGAACGTCGTCGTTTTTAACGCTAATTGACATTTTGTTTTCTTCTGCTACGGATTGTCACGAGTCGAGTTGTTGTTAAACCGACATTTTTTTTTNTTTTTTTTTTTTTTTTTTTAATTAGGAAGTTCAATACATTCTCGAATTAAACGAACATGAAGGAACTCGATCGGCTGGAAGATCTTTTCTGGATGGACAAAGAGAATGTAACAACCGGTCAAAGTCGAGGGATCGATGATCAATAAACATACCACCACGGTTTGAAGAAGACTGATGCAGTAAACCATGGCTATGGGTCAAGTGTATGGGATCAGATGGCGCTTATTTCGGACTGGTTGCTATTGGATAAATTTATTTTTTATTTAGACCGTGGAGGGGAGATGATATTCGTCTCTCCCTTCATCGTGTAAATCCTTTTTCATCCCATCACGCTCCGCCACTTTCTTCTGTTTTCCTTTCCACCATTTCTTCGATTATATTCTAGAATATGTGTACACATGTATCATATATATGTATATGTTTGCAGAATAATGTTAAATCGTGCATTATATAACATTTAAAAATGTTATCTATTTAAACAATCGTTCCCTTATTTTTTTTTCGAATAATAAATAAAAATTTCTTGAAAATAATTTTTACAGTATTTCTGCTGAAATTTTCCAATGAAAAATTACAATTGGCTAAAAAAAAGTCCTCGTTTATATTAATTAAGAATTGTTTGATAATATTTCTATCTAATTATAAAAAGTCAATTTGCAATGCTTTACATCCGCTTTTACAAGAATTTCTTATGCAACATTTTCACTTCTCTGCCCGATTATAAAATCACTTAAGATGATTTGCATATAATTACATATACATATTATTTGGAAAAATTTCTTATATAATTATTTTCATCTGTCTCGTCGTAAAATATATATACTATAAAGTGAGTAAATTTAACTATACATATGTTACATAGTGTTATAATTCCATTTATCGTTATCAATATCTTTTTTCAGCGCAGGTGAGATTTAAAGAAATTTTCTATTGTGTATGTTTAACGATTGCTCAAAGTATTTTCGTCTCTGGACGTTACATTGTTTCCTCGGCAACCTGTTGCCCGCTTGAGGATCGAGATCAACGGTCACTCGGCTAGAATTTCCGATACAATGTTTCCAAATCGAGCGTTGCGAGCGCGTCGAAATTTGAGTCTCGAGAGAAGAGGATGATTTAAATTAATATCCAGAATAATTTTTACGTCAGAATAAAAAGTCGATATAATTTTTAAAAATAATCATTCTTTGATTCGAAATAATTTTATTACGCATATATTTGTAATTAATTCCCGCGAAATAAATTAATTTTTAATTTACAGGTGATTCAGACTGTGACTCGAGAAGGCAATTATGCGACACAGAAGTCAAACAGGCAATTTGTCGGATCGTAATATCGTTGCAATTGTCCTAAGCTTGATCCAATGCTAGTGTCACGTAGCATCGATGAGTCAATTTATCGTATGCTTACATATTTCGTGTACGATGTAGTATGTTATCCTTCGTGGATTGTGGCCTCACTACAATAAAAGAATTTTATAATAATGCATTATTTAATACTATAGTATAAGTATCTTGTTTGTACTTTGTTAATAAGTTTCTACGAAGCAAACATTTCTCAAGGAGAGAATTTATCCTATCAATACTCTGTTTCAGTTATATTTCTTCATATAATGTACATTATAATTAAACTGTTTACTATTAATCACGTGTCAGATGCAAAGTATTTATATCATACCTGATTTGTATTTAATAACACTCTGGAAAGCTGAAATTCAGTCAGAGATCTAACCACATGCACACTTCGATGTAAATATAATTGCTGAATGGGAATCGTGTGAGTGTCGATGTTGTAAGAATATTTAAAATATTGTTGATGAAAATTATTCGATATAAATTCGAAAAAATATAAATCTTTGAAATTTTAAATCTCCATCACTCGTCGTTGGAAAGTTATATTTAAAAAGAAATATTCGCAAAGTTTCGTTAAAAAAAATCAAAAAAAATCAAATGCTTTCCATCGTGCACGCACCAACGAAACTTCGAAAGAAAAGGAACTATTCTTCTATCTTTCCCGGTTCGTTGTAACTTTATCAAACCGGTTCAAGGCAGTTCGTCAACCATTTCTGTGCTATTTGTTGCGAAAATTTACATACAGTGCTGCGCCAATGCACCGCACGATAATAGCATTGTTGTTACCTGCAGAGTTTATTACGTGACACAACGTAGCCGCTTGAACCGCGATCCTCTCTATCTCTTCAGTTGTTGTTCGACAAGCGGCGCGATTCCTCCTCCTAATCCTTTCGTTCGAGTTTCGTTAACGAGCGAGATAAGCTCCGTTTGCGCGTTTATCGAACTTGATTTCGAGAAATTCGAATCCGTTTTTTTTTCAATCTCACACACTATATATTTTTAGATAATAATTTCTGATCTATAATTGAATTGTTTTTAGTATACCGTTCGTATAAACTTCGTTTGATTTTCTCGGATGTGATAATTATTCGTGGAATTTATTTTTAATCCGAGTTTTGTGCCGAGTGAAATTTTGTGATGTACATTTCGCTCGAGTATGTTTAAAATGTTTGATGTGAGAAAATTTAATATGGTCAATGTATCAACGATGGTGGAATGAATAAATTGGGAATTATCGGTGAATAAAATTGAAGAACATGTGGAATCGTAAAGTATTCATCAGGATCATCGAAGTGGTGAGTAAATATTTATTTAATTTAATATTACGAGGTTTTGTATCAATATTTGAAGTGAAATCTGTTCGTGTTGTTATTTAAATTTAACTCTGCAATTGATGAATTTATAGTTTTCACAATAACTGCGATAATCTTCTGAATATTTTGACAATTAATTATTTATAATTACTTCTGCGGATAGAACACTGTATAATTTATTTTAATATATCGTTTCTTCACGATAAATGAATTAAATTTAATTGAACGAATATTCGATTTATAGATACTTTGTATTGCTTGCGTGGTGGCGCTAAGGGTGACCGACGACGAGAGTCGAAGGGTTTTTCATTATTTGAGAAGTCGCAGCAGAGAATGGTCCCTTTTGAACAACATCACGTGGGGTGCAATAGGTTCGAAATATTAATTCATTGTGTCTCATTTTACTTCCCGTATTAAGAAAAAAATAAAATTATTTTAAAATTCAATCTTTATATCTTTAAAATTGTTCTCATTAAAAATTGAAAATATAATATTCCTAATACAAATATTTTTTCAGAATTTTTGAAAAATAATTGGTGAGTTACATATTATGGAAGATTAATTCTGAACAATTCTATTATTTCATAATTGCAAAACCGTAATTGTAAAACTTTGAATTACTTAAAAGATTCGAGCCATCTAAGAAATTGTTGCAAATATTTTAATTATATAAACAAGATTGATACAATGAATAGATTATTTTATACCTCAGACAGGTAATGAATAAGTATAATATTCAAGAATGTAAAATATGAAACTTTTCTTTTGTTAATCTAGGCGCCGCTCTTGCAACCGCGACTTGTGGTGGTTACATAATAATCACAACAGGTCTCCTTATTGCTGCTGCAACAGGAGAGCTTAATGGCCGAAAGACGGTAATTATTTTCCTTTTTTTTCCATATCTGTTTGCGCAATATTTGCAATATACGACGAAAAAGTTCGAAATGGATTTTATGACCTGTTAATTCTTCCTTCCTCGACAATTATACAAGTCGTCACACTTCCTTAATAGTCTTATTGTTCGGTGTCTTCAAGGTATTCTTTCTCTTTCAAGCACGTCCTTCGACGAGCTGATTTTATCGCGCTCTTATGTTTGTCTTGGGTGACCAACGCCCTGAATGAGATCTATCTAACCCTTTCAAAAATATTTTTTTGGATTTATTATTACGCAAAATCGTTGAAAATTTTTTGATAATTATAATTTATGAAATAAATAACAGTTAAAACAGTTACGGACAGATAGTCTTAATTAAAAATCAGGAATTTTAGAATTTAACTTCCTGTTTTTCTTTTTCTTTTTTTTTTTTTTTATTCCGTATTGAACAAGTTTCACCGGTAAAAGTAAGATTAAACGGATAAAAATTGAAATTCTATTTAATCCATTATATATGAATAATATTAGCATGATATTAGCAATTGAAATTGCATTACCTTTTACTTTTGTTTTTAACGAATTCACTCGCAATATCAAAAATTTTCTTCATAATTTTCCGCATATAGATAAATGCATCAAATTCTTTTGCATTTAAGAGCAAACAACATTTTCAAGAAGGCATGTTCAAATCCCACGATATATTAATCTTGATAATGATATTTTCAACATTCTTCCTGGTTAGAAAAATCTCGTTTTTCCACAGACACTCCTCGTTTATTAATCAATCCAATGTTAGAACGAAATTGAATCGTGACGTTGTGAATTCTATACGTATGTTTCAAAGGTTAGTTTTTTCAACTTATGCAGATTGACTCGTAAAACAAGAAATCTTTTAAATGTGGAGCATGATTTAACCGTGAGAAACATCGTAACGTTGTTGGTGCCAAGGTTAAAAATATCCTTCATGCAAAATGATTACGAGAAGAGATACGTAACAGCATCCTTGATTGTATGGCAATTGAGCCACGTAATATAAACTGTGACTTATTTAATGACTCATAAATGAGCCTAGACGAAGATTTCTGCATTAAATTGCATTGGAAAAAAAAAAAAAAAAGAAGAAGAAAAGAAAAGAAAAAAAAAAGCAATGCTATTTATATTCTTGAGGGAAAGATTTGTATAGAAGATATATAAGTATAATATTTAAAAATATTCCATTTAAGTACAATCGGCATTGTAAAGAAATCTTGGAATGGAATACGAATTATCGAATTATCAATTCTAATATACGTGCGAAGATCGTTTCACTTTTATTCTTGAAATTTAAATGATAGAAGATAAAAAAGAATGTATTGAACGGAGGAAGTTATTAAAATTTAATAATGCTTTTTAATGAAAGATATGAAGAAGATTCGTTTTTTATTCATCTTTTTTTTTTTTTCTTCTTTTTTCATTCAAGGAAATATTTTTTCTTGGACTTGGAGTGATTCTTTTCGCCATTGTCGGCGCATTGTCCATGGCGTCCATTGAAAACGTCCCTGAGGATTTGATCGACAATGCCGCGGTTTTTGGGGCACTGTGCCTGCTAACAGCGTTGGTTTTCATCGGCGATCTGTTAATGAGCACGCCTAAAAAGAAGAACAAGCATGGCATGGCGGAACTCTTGACCGATAAAAAAGGTACGTCTACATTACAAAAAATTATTGTGCTTTATATGAAGAAAATATCGAATACAAATTTTACAGCCAAGCAACAAATAACGACGACCCTTACCACGGAAAAAGAATCAAAATCTCCCAAAATGAGCAGTTCGAAAGTCTCCAAAAAAGACGATAATGGAAATATAAACGACGGTTTCGATAAAGTGGACGAACAACGTCAAAAGAGTTCAGCTACGAAGGAGGAACAAAGGTATTCGAAAGAAGAAGCGTATGGGCACGATGAAATCGATAATATCGATCGAGAAGACGGAGAGCCGAAAGAGTACACGCAGAATTTCGAGAATGGAAGAGCTCTCAGGGACTCGCAAATGCATCGAGACTCTGAGATGCAAAAGGTTGGGAATAGAGACTCTTATAAAATGGCTCAGAGAATAGAGATGCCTACTATGATGTATAAGATGCAGGATATTTATCAACGTCCAGTTGATGAAATCGACACACCTCGTTTTCCGATCGAGACGAATCGCAAAAATGAGACTATGTTCGCGAAGATAGTGAACCCTAGCGTGAAGATTATGAAAGTTGAACGTGATGTGGATGAAGCTATCGAAAGTTACAGGTAAAAATAAATTGTTGCTTTAACAAAAATTCTGATGCCTATATAGTTAAGTATTATAATTTTCTAATTTAGTGATTCTTTCTTCGATATTCGTATTTTTTTTATTATTATTTTTTCTTTTTGTGTTCAAGATATTCTGACACTAGCCAGTACGATAATGTGCCAGTCAGAATGAGAGGAACATCGTTGAGAAGTCAGAAAAAAAGTCGTGACGTTTCTTTCAATGTTCCACCACCACCAAAGGGTTATGAGCAAGAGCTTGACCAAGAAAAAGATGAAATCGAGATGCTGGAAGAATGTTTTACCTCGCTTCGAACAACGAGCACAGGGACACAGACGCCCAATGTTCGAACACCTTCGTCACCCACTGATCCAGGATACGTTCGACACACTGCCAGCAATTGGCCCCAAGAGAATAAAACTAAGACTCCTGGATCGAGTCCAAATCGTACAAGGAATTGATTTATTATTATGCACAAAGACAAAAATTTAAAATTTTGCATCGTGATTTCTTATGTCTGAGATAATGTTTTGAAATTCTAATTTGAGAAAGAGATTTCAAGGAACTTTGTTAGAAGGATTATATTATAGTTATAGATCAAGATTGGAAAGGTTTGTGAAGTGTTATGAAAATGACATATTAATATAAAATTTTTTCAATTTTCCATTTTCTTCTCTATTTAAATATTAGTCTATAGTTTTTCTATGTTTTTAATAAAATTTTGTAATAATTTTCAGTGTCAAAAATTTGGTTGCATTTAACATACCGTTTGTATATTTTTACTCACTGCCTTTTTTTATTAATTGAAAAGCAAAAATTGTTTATTGTATATCTTTTTTTCTTCTTATTTTATTAACTCGGTTTATTAAATTATTTTATATATACACGTGTATGTATATATCTATTATTTATAAATGTATTAATTAATTTAAAAGGGTGACAAGGAATCTTCATAGACACATGGTTATTTTCGTATAAGTAGAATCTTTTAATATATAAAGATTTAATACCTCCTTTCACATCGATACGCATTACGTACAATTATTAATAATAATGTCTTCTTGTGATAAACATGTAACCGTAGTTTGTTAGTCTCCATCAGAACTTATTCGTTAAAGATATTAGCATTTAATTGGATTTACATTTAATCATTTTTTTCTACGTGTGTGCACCGTATCGTTTCTTTTTCTTACATATTTTTATATATAAATAAATCGATCCAATCAGGTCTTTATTGGTCGTTTTTCTTTATATTATTTAACGTGATCGACAATTTCTTCGGTTATTAAATAAACGGGAAGAAATTTATCTTCATCGGGATTGAAAGAAAAAGAAATCAACCGGAAAACGTAGAGAGTTTCGACGTGTTCTGTCATCGAATTTTATTTAAAAAAAAGCCACAAAGCTATTTCTCGTTCAAAACTCGTCGTTCTCTCTTTTAGCTTCTTCACGTAGCCCTCTCTTTCTCTAAACGTTTCTAAACGCGTATTTACAGAGTTGAGAATTATTGCTTAGATACTTGAGCATTCGTTCCTCTTCTTCCACGTATTAAACATTACGTATAAAATTGGTTAAACTTAATGAAGAGGATTATCAAACATTCTCATTCTTAAGACTGGTATAACTAGATTATCTTTTATTATTTTATGAAACGATAACTTGAAAATTGCAATGTTATTAAATTGGTATATATATATAGTACGTTTAATTCCACGCAAAATTCTTGATTCACTTCTCTTTTGCATCGAGGTATAAGCTTGTGACTTATTCTTTAAGTTTGTTATATTTTGGTGTACTTGTCTTCTATGGAAAAGTATTTCTTAAAACGAGGGTAAAGATACGCGAAAAATGCTGTCACAATTTAATAGATAGTTAGAATGATTCTATCTATAATAGTATTATCAGATAAACTGTGATTCTCTTGAATTCTTCTCACCTCTAACTAAATATATTTACAAGTCGAAAAACTCTCAAACTGTTCTTTATTTAGTTTCAATTTCTTCTTAAGAAATCTTTATCAGATCTTTTGTCACGAATAAATAAATAACGAAAAGATAAATGTAATTTTATTGACTATAATTCTTTTTCTTTTATTGAATATAATTCTTTCAAATTTTCGAATATTATTCTTTCTCCTTCCACAATATTATCTTCAAAGATGCTTATTAATATTAATAAAAAATAAAAATTTATTATAGATATTATAGATATTAAAAAACTTTTTATCGAGATTCTTTTTTGTTCTTTTTTTTTTGTGTAATTATTTTTCTTAAATACGTATTTACAATATTTTTCATTCGATTAAGTAATACAAGAAAAAAATATAAATTTCTAAAATTTGAACCCAATGCTACAAGTGCAGAATGCAAATCGAATATTTTATCTCATGCCAAATCCAATGCTAGCACCTTGAGCATTAGTGGCTCTTTGTTCCATGGTGATATATTGTCTAATTAATCGTGAAATTTCATGAGCTTGTTCAGTCTGCAATCTTGTAATACGTTGTTGCATCAAATTACCACATTTCATGTCAAGATAAAGGGTTCCTTCTTCAGATTTTACTTTTCTTGTGGAAATTACTTCAGAATAGGGATAGTGATAGAGAGTTTCCTGAAATTTTAGTATTGATTACACAAATTATTCATACAAATTTTATATAAAATTAAGAAATTAGAACTAAATCATACTTACATGTGTGATTAAATCAATAAAATGTACTCCATGCCTATTGAGTGCCAAAATATGATCGCCTCCTTTTTCTTTTCCTTCAGGCACCCTCTTTACAGCAAAGAAACTAGATCCAAACAATGGCCATTTCCACAAAATTTCTAGAAATAGATATCAATATTTTTTAGATATGGTAAAGATAAGAATTATAATTCATTGTATAAAAAATATAAAAATGTTTATTGATCAGAATTAAAATACTTACCAAGCACCTGTGCTTTACAAGCAGCTACTGTATTATGTTGCACATTATTCCATGCTTGTTGGACCATGTTTGACCACTGTTGTGGTCGTGGTTCTCTTAAACTAAGCACTGGTTTTGGTAATAAATATTTAATTTCTTTTGTTGTAGGTTCATGATTCATATCTGCTGCCCTATGTAATAGAGCTGCTATTTGTGCCATATCATACTTAAAAGGAAAAAGAAAATATATTAATTAAAAATAAATTCTATAAAATTATAATATCAAAAGATAATACTCACTATGACTTCTTGAGGTAAATGTTCACCAGGTAAAACTAATAAAAGACCCTCCAAGTAATCTGGAGCAATCTGATTGAATACAACTTCTATATACAGTGGAGCATCCAGTCTGAGAGGATAATACCATACAGATCTAAATTTAAAAGAAATTATAATTAATTTTTCATAATTTTAATTTACATTGCTTTAAAAAAAATTATTAGAATTAAATTAAAATCATATTTAAAAAATATACCTGCAGAATATTAGATAAAAGACCTGATGATTTTTATGTAATTCTGTAGTTACATCCAGTACATATTCATCTCTGGCTAAAGGCATAGTAAATGCATCACCATCGACAATACAATATAATGAGAATTCATCCATTTCATGAGGATTTCTTACAGATATTATGTTGCACATTTCTTCAATAACATCCTATTAATAAGAGTAAACTATTAACAAATATTTATAAAATTATAATTTAATATAATTATTATTAATTATTATAATTACTATAATTATAATTATAATTATAATTATTATAATTATTAATAATTATAATTATTTTAATAATTATCAATGATAAATTTATAATAAGAATCATAAATGTTATGTATATGTATTATTGAAATTTGAATTTGAATTTTAGCGCGCAACTATTCACCGGCAGGTGTCCGAAGCATCATGGCGGTCGTGTCAGTGAAGTGGAAAAGTGTCGCAAAAAGTGGAAAAAATTATGGAAATAGCAACGTAACAGTTCTGGTGAGTTTCTTAAATTAATTTGTTATAGTTAAATAATTACGTCTATTGTTATCTTTGATATATATTGCTGAATTAATAAGATTTCTTCGATTTTGTATTGAATGCGTCAATAGCGCATCAAATGGCGCAGCATTGCGCATCAAACGCAATATCAAATTGCGTCGTTTGAAATTTTAGATATTATATGATTATTTTATGCGTTAATTATTAATTATTATTATAATTATAATTATAATTATTATAATTATTAATAATTATAATTATTTAGTATTATTAGCATTATCAATGATAAATATATGATAAATTTATAATAAGAATCATAAATATTATATATATTAATATATATATTATTGAAATTTAAATTTGAATTTTAGCGCGCAACTATTCACCGATAGGTGTCCGAAGCATCATGGCGGTCGTGTCAGTGAAGTGGAAAAGTGTCGCAAAAAGTGGAAAAAATTATGGAAATAGCAACGTAACAGCTCTGGTGAGTTTCTTAAATTAATTTGTTATAGTTAAATAATGACATCTATTGTTATCTTTGATATATATTGCTTAATTAATGAGATTTCTTCGATTTTGTATTGAATGCGTCAATAACGCATCAAATGGCGCAGCATTGCGCATCAAACGCAATATCAAATTGCGTCGTTTGAAATTTTAGATATTATATGATTATTTTATGCGTTAATTATTAACAATTATTATGTTTATTATTATTATTAATGCTTATTATTAATATTATATGCCAAATATCATATTCATTTTAAAGATTGCATATTAATTTTCTTTAGTAGTCTATATTACTAATGCTTTTTACATTACAGTGTGCTATATTTATGAATTAATATTTATCATTAATCAATTTTATAAATTAACATTGGTTTTCTATTCTAAACAGAATATAAATTATTCTTTTTGTCTGTACTACTTGCGTTTTCTAGTTTACGAATGTAGTTTAGTTAGTTCTCGTGTCAAGAAATATGTCTCGCATGTATCATAATGTATCTTATACGTTGATCCTTATTCATTTCTTTGATTGATCCACATTCATATAATATTTCTATTAGTTTCTTTTAAGCTTATTCATTTTCAATTTATTAGATTAATTTTTTGGGGATCGTAGTATAATTAATTCTCTTAGTTTTTAATTTACATTATTCAATTTTCATTTTTTGTCTGCATTTATTTGAATTGAATTATTCTTTTGTCCTTTTTTCTTATTTTATCTTGCTTATTTTTTCTAAATCTTCATCTTGCTTCTTTGTTTTACAATTTACAATGATCTTCAAAGAATTTAAATTTACCTGCACAACAGTTGTACATTTAGTGTTGATAACTCTTTCTGTTCCTCCTGGCAATCTATAAATCTGCCTTTTTGCATTTCTGCCTGCACTAATTGCCATAATTTCATCCACGCTTGGCACGTTTTTCCTTCCTCCATATTTAACTGTTTTCCTGAGATTCTGTAAACACACTGTGGCTGTTCCATGATAAGCTCTTCTTTTGTCATAAGCTGCTGTTTCCAGATATTTGGTAAGATAAGGCCTTAGACCATCACTGCAAGTGAAATAGGCAGCAACAATACTGAAGATTCTCCAACCACGTTGACAACTGTCTGGATTTGGACTTTTATTATTTGTGGTTTGTTTCATTAATTGACAATAAACTTCATCGCGTAGTAATTCATATTTGTGACAATGCTGAAATAAGATTGAAAAAAGAATAATGTCTTTAGATGTTAATTCGAGATTTCAGTTTGTGAATAGAGAAAGTGATAGTTTCACTTTCTGTAATTATTTAATGGAGTTAAGGTTATTTGTAAATAATATTTTTTAATGTAAATGATTTTTTGAAAAAATAAAACAAAAATAAAGAATCATAATAGGAAGAATAAAAATAATAATAATACAAAATTTATCCTTCTCTCCCGAGTGATGATTATTTTGTGAATGAAAGATTGTTAGAAATTGAATGAATGAGTTGATTTTTTTGAATGAAGAATATGAATATTTTTATGAATGTTATTTGTAATTTTACATATGTTATTTGTTAAGTATTCTTTTTTTTTTTGAGGAATTATTACATAAAATCATCAAAAACATTTTTTAATAAGAAAGTAAAAAAAGATAGTAGAAAAAAAAGTAAATTAAATTCATGATTAAAGAAATGGGCTATCAGATTATTATTCTATCATTATTAAATTCAATCCAAATAATTTAATTTCTTTCAATAAATTTCATTTCATTTCTAAAAATAATTGCATTTATATAATGATATTCTTTTATAAAATATTTAAAATTATAATTATTTCAACTTATTTTGCATAAACTAAAAAAGTATCAGTAATTTTATCAAACATAATTATCTTATTTTTCAAAAAATTCATTAATTCAAATTGAAAATATAATACTCACCATAAGAATGGTGTAAACGCATTTTACTTCACTAGTATCTGGAGGTAATGGTTGGTCACCCATGTACCTCATCAGACACAAAAAACATTCTACTGCCAGAGCACTTAAATCTGTATCAAGCTTCAAAAGGCTTTGCTCTATTGGCACAGGAGAATATTTCACAAGATCCACCTGTTCTTTCCAAGTCCATTCCGCACCATCCTGTTGACCTTTGTTTTTCTTATTCTTCTTTTTATTTTTCAAGGATTCTATCACTTTAAGAGATCCACTTATTGATCCATCTGCTGTCTTCAGCATCTCAAACCTAAAAAAAGAAAAAAAATATTTTTAGAACTTTCTCTTATTTAAATTCTACTTAATAATAATAATAGAAAATTTCAATTGTAAGGAACTGTTAGAATTAATTTATCAAAGGAACGGTACTCGAGAGTGATGTAAATAATAGTTTTCCAAAACGGAAGTCGTCTCGTTGAAGGAGTATATAACCATAAAGGGGATTTCCATTGCAGGATGTTGCTACAGATATAGGAAAAAGTCCCGTTGAGTACTGACCGGGTGGTTGTCACTTGTCAAAGTCATGTTTAGGAAATCTATACTCTAGTTAGGCGTTTTAATGATTCGACTTGGTAGAAGGTTGATTTCTATACTCTGTCGGTTCGTTATTATTTTTATCGTTTGTGTCTTTTTTCGTTTCGCTTTGATGCCTCGTTACAAATTCGTTTCCTGTGCAAATATTTCACTAAAAAAATCTCTCCTAATAGAAATTGTACAATGAATAGTGAAAACTGCTAATTAATTTTAATTAGTTGTACACGGTATATGATACAGTTAATCAGACACGGCGTCGTAAAAGAGAATCAAGATACAATTTGCAATGTCAATTCTTATTTCTTCATAATTTAACACATTTACAATTGAAATGTAATATTGTAACGTCACGTACATGACTTTTAGAAATCTATTCATTAGTACGATCATTTAATTCCATCTAGATCTTTCTTGTTTGACATAGTCTCTTGACCAATGACGAGTTGCAAAATTTTCTACGTCGTCCACGAATTAATCCCAAGTTCCCCTCGTGAATTAGGAAGCACCTCGAAACGGTAACTCGCGAAACGCGGAATAATATCCTAAAAGGAGACGAGCTGTACTCGTTAGCCGCGCGTTCACCAAGATGGTCGATGTTACTCTGAGAAGTGCAGTGCGTTATGCTTTCTCAACACGGCTCGCTCGCGTTTCTTGCGTAAGAGGAACCAATTAGTCGTTAACATTAATTTCTCTTTTATTGCGGTGCCTTGTTTTGACAAAAAAGGTTCTTCTTCCGTTTAAGATCTTAATAATAGAATTCTTTTTTTTCGTTACTTTTAGATAGATTTTTTTCTACTTACTGATCTTCCTAGCCTAGAGGATACAGCGTGTAACATATCGCGAAAGAAGCTATATTATAATATTAATTTTAAAAATTAATGAAAAATTCATTGAAATTTCATTTAATTTGGATTATTAAAAATTTTTTTTTTAAATTTAACGAGAGATATGTCATTGGAATAAATTTAATAATACAATTTTACAGCTTCTTATATAGAATTATTTGTCGAATAGAATACTAACTTCTCGGTACTTTGTCTAAAGTTCAGCATGGCGTACTGCAACAAAGAGTGTTTTCCGTCGTTGACGACCGGCCCACTCTCGTAGATGCCATCTTCTTGCAATCTGCCGTTGTCTTCCGGCTGCCGCCATTCCTGATTCGGGCTGAGCCGCTGGTTCTGCTGGTTTTTCTGGTGATTCGTCTGGTTCGTTGCCGACACGTGGTTCGGCACACGACCGGCGGGCACGTGGTTTTCATGGTTCGAGATAACGTGATTAGGCTGACCATGGGATTGTACGTGATTCGGTGTGCTGTGATTCGCCTGCGACTGGATCGATTTCGTGATCTGTGACACGTGGTTCTCGTGATGGTTCGGCTTGTGCAGCGGCTTCTGATCGACCTGCAATATCGTAACGTACCATTTTTTTTTCATTATTATTTGATTAATTTTATTTGATTTTTGAGATTTTCACAGTCATCTTGTACAATTTGATTTATTTTTTAACAAATTTATTTTTATTTTTAAAAAATAAAATTCTTGTAACTTCATTAATATTATTGTACAAGAGGACAATGAAAATTAAAATTCAATATCTGGAATAATATTCGAATGTTGAGAATCTTCTTTAGAATTAGTAATTATATTATATTTTATCATTTTTAAATAGAGGGAAAATCTTAAATCGTGAAAGTTAGGAATAGTTCGATTACTAATATTAGTTATAAGTCATTAATAGACTGAGAAAGTTCATTTTTTTAACCGGATCGTGATATTTACTATAATACACCAAATTGAACTTTCACATGATTCTCGGGTGGGAAAAACGTTAATCTAGAACAGAGGAAATTGTTCCACTTGAATCAAGAAAACGACAATTACACAGTAAATTTTCATAAGTCACTGGTAAAAGGAACAAATATCATTGACTAAACCAACTACTGCTTTTCACTTCGGTTAATGAGAACTATTTATATTAAATTGAATACTAATAATTCGTTTGCAAGATAGTGTTCAATCTGACTTATAATAAAAAACTTTACATATTTTTTATTTTTATTTCATTTAATACATAGTTTCTAATTATTATTCAAAAAAGAAAGACAAACGAATTACTAAATTTATCGCGTATAATATACAAAATTATATTACGTGTTCTTTTATAAAAGTTAGAAAAAAAATTAGAATTTTGTTAGAAAATTTTCTTTCCAGACAATTATCGAAAAGAAATTACTATTAATATTCGCAACGTTTAATTAACAAAATTATCCGAAAATTCAATATACACTCAACAGAGAGAATTAATTTAAAATTTTTTTAACACATCGACTCGGCCAAACATTTGGATTTCTTGTTGTTTCCACGAACAAGCGTCTTCCGTTTCCCTTATCAAACGATCAAGAAATCACGTTTGGGTGCATAAACCATCAGTGTAAAATCCTCTTATGTGGGCGTCACGTCGCCCCAGTTTCGCGAGTGATTTACACGATGGTTTTTCGACCTTTCCTATTATTCATTTTCTCTTTCGAATCGCGTTTCCTGCTTTTCACCGGCACACACTCGCGTATATCTCCCGTTCATCGATCGATCTCGCGGATGAGAAAACTGGTTCCCCTGCACTAGGATTTAGGAATGTAAAGAATACACTCGACAATTTTCTTTTCTCATTCATCTTATTCGAAACGAGTGATTCGATAAAACTTGTAAATTAATAATCCGTAAACGACCTACGACCGACTTATTCGACACCTTTTTACGAGTTACATCCGTGTAACTGGTTTCGCGGACGAGTTAGAAAAACTTTTTTTGCGATAAAATTATTTGGTATAAATAATAACGATATTCAAAGATAAGTTGGATTCTTTTTTTTTTTTTTGTGAAAGAAAATCGATATTCGTAACGTTGTGTTTTTCAAGGTTGGTAGTAGTAGTCGCGAAAGTTTATAGCTACGTACGATTGCCATTATTATTTCCACAGCTGACATATTTTTAGTGAATTGTGATTTCATCTGGAACTGTAATTTTTCCGCGGTGCCATTGCAGGAATGATATTGCAATAACGTAACTCTCAATTTACCGTAATTTGCTAGGTAATAAATGTCTATTATTCGAAAATAAGGAATATGTGCAGTTTTTTTTTTTCTACGTATTACATAGTAATTACTATTAAATATGAATTTAATATGGTTAACGAAGATTAGCAGATGTTAGTTAGTTTTCCAAATTTAAAATAAATTAGATTTTTCAAAATATTCGATTCTTGAATAATAATAGGACAAGTTTTTTTTTTTATATTTTCATTTTATATTAAAAAAGAGAGAATTTTTTATTCCATATATTCGTTATTATTACATTCAAGTATTTTCATTTTGTAAATTCTCTCAAAGAAAGTAAGTAATCAAAAACTTTTTACTTTTTTAATTTTTGAAGCAAAAGAATTTTATTTTTATAGATCAGAAGTATAAATTGCTTTTCATAAATTTAAAATAAAAAGTTAAATTTCTAAAAGATTAGAATTTTAAAAGTAGATATTCAATTAGAAGGAATAATAATCTTTCATTTTTTATTTCAAGCTTTACAATTAGGGAATTTTCTTTTTTTCCCTTTTCTCATACAAGTAGAAAAAAATTTTTAAACAATCGTCTCAGATATCCTTCTAAATGAATTCATAATGCAACACCCGGTATATCGATAGTTGAAACCCTGCTGACAAAACCTGAATGTACTCTGAGTGAGTGAGATAAGCAGAAGTCGACCCTGACCCACATAATCGTTAATGCATCCAGATACGGTTGTAGACGCGAGCATGCATAGTTACTCTAATGATATTAATAAGAATAATCATCCACTAGATTCTCTCCGACCTGTTTATGAAATAAATTGCGTTATATATTTATCAGAGATTCTTATAATTTTTCTAAATTGTCTATTTAGATCAACATTTTCCATAATAAAAAATTATAATTTCCTATTAAGATAATATATCAATTTTTCCATCTCCAAATAGAAAAGTAAATTTTACATTTTTTGCTCGTTATTTAGATCGATGTTTTATTTTTCATAATGGAAACTTCTTCTCAAGATCAATTTCAATTTTTTCACCTCGTTCGAATATAAAAGAAAATTGAGACGCAATTTCTAAATTTTCTAAACTTTATCTAGAGCGGTACGTTCTTTATTTTTTATTGTTATTTTATAATTTTCATTTCAAATTAATATCAACCTCTTCGCCAATTTCTCTTTCGAATAAAAATAATCGAACAAAAACTTTACTTTTTCCAAATTCCATCAATTCCAATTTTTTTAATTTTTTTTTTTTTGATGCATTCGAATAAAAATATTGAAGGAAAACGAGAGACACGCAACATTGTTCATTTTCCATATCAAAAACTTTATGACTCTAAATTCAAGATCGATTCCAATTTTTCCGCCTCTTTTTCGAATAAAAAGGCACTTGGAACATGAAAGAAAATTAATATGTATAAAATTCCTATCATCGAACGAAACGGTGTCTTGGGCAATCGATTTATCGTTTAACCTTAATCCCTCGTGGAACCATACCTTCCATAATAGTGGCACCATTAAACTCTATTTAAACATTTTAATGGTTCCGCTTGTTACACTCGACTCAATCTTCAATTACGGTAACTTTATCACCTGCGCAACATTTTACTAATATCTTGGCCACGGTCTCGGTGTAAACAGTGCTCGATTATGCGAGCATGCCGCGAATGCAACCGACTGCATTCCTTTTCGGTACTTTATACCGTCCGGATAACGGTAAAAGCTTTTTCAATCTCCGAAGATTTCTCGCCTTCGGAATATCTGGATGGTGAGCGTATATATAGAAATTGATTTTCACGCGCGAGGCTACGATCGGTATGAAAGTAATGTCCGTTTTGGGATTATATGTTTTAATATCCAACTTTACGAGTATATAAATTTTCCCTTAACGTTAAACCTATAATGTATATTTTAAATATAGAATCGAATCACGTGTTATATTCGTGAAAATAATTTCGAAATAATTTTGTCAAAAAGTGTCTGCACCATGACCTGCAAATCGAAAATCGATTATAATTATATACTTTCCCATCAATAACGTGATCAACTCTTGGTCCGGGTTACCGGTCTAGGAAAAGAAGTCTTTATCGGTTGTAAAACACGCGAGTTGACGACCATGTCCATGCCTCTGATTTTTCGCTACGAACGTAAATCGTAATTTTGAAGGAAAACTGCATTTGACGACAATAAAATTGATTGCTTGCTTAATATTAATCTTGCTTATCGACTCTTGAAAAAAAAGAAAAAAAAATTGAAGAATTATCGTGTTTTGATCGGTCATCAAGGACGAAATTAGTAATTTATTATGGGCGAGTTAAAGGCAGGATTTGAATATTGTTTTTTATTTGCATCTCTCTCTCTCTCTCTCTGGATAATGATCTTTCATCAGTTTTTCGATTATTATGCTCATTTAAGAATGCTTAATTAAAAAACTATATACTCCTCGTAAAAATTATAGATCCTAGATAATATATTGTCCACGGTTCGTTGATAAATATTATGTAATTAAAATACTCTGTTAGTCTTCCTATGTTATATAATTTGATATAACTAGTTATTCGAGTAGTAATTGACTCGAGGCACGTTAACTCGTTAACAAAAGAGTCACGAAACACGCGTTAACAAAATAAAATAGAGGTTCGTTAGTCGAAATATCCAATTTGCGGCTAATTAATTGTTCAATTCTCGCGTTCTGGGTGAATAAAACTCATCCACAATATGTAAAATAGGCTTTAATTTCAAATTAAAAAAAAGAAAAAAAATTTTTCTCAAATCTTAAACAAATTCCTGTTAATCCACCTTATTCCAATTTAACAATTTCTGAATGTTCGGTCAAATTTAGAATTAAAATGAAAAAGAGCCTTCGAATCAATTTCACCCACAAAAATTCAGTAAGATTTACAAAGTTAATCGAGGACAAGAATTTTATCGGGATCGTGACCTGGTAGCTCTTGACCTTCTCGTCGAGTTTCTTCAAGGTCTCCTGTATAGTGGTGAGGGTCTTGTCGTTCGACTTCTCCTCCACTTGCGCCTCGTTCTGGGTCCTCAGCTCCTCGAATCTCTTCAAGATCTCTCTTACGCTCAGCTTGCTCCCATCCGCGTTCTCTTCCGTGATCGTCTCCATTTTCGAAACCTTCCTCTCCCCATTCACCCTGCCCACGATTTGATCGCTGTCGTAGAAATCTTGGATCAGCTCGTTCACATCCTCGCCGTTTTGAATCTGTTTGACCGAGGATGGCGACTGAGCTCTCGACGTCTTCTCCGCATTCTCATTGTTGTTGTTGTTATTATTATTATTGTTGTTGTTGTTGTTATTATTAATCCTCAACGGGCTCGCGTTCCTCGAGTTTCTCAGCAGGCAACCTCCTCGAGCCTCAATTGCTCGATCGTCGGTTGCGTCTGACGATCGGAATTGGCCGAGTTGATGGAATTGATCGTGGAGGCAATCGGGTTGAGATACGGTTTCTGATCCAACTTGGACACGTCGATCCTCGGTATATTCTCGTATTCGAATTTCTGTTGGCTCATCCTCTCCTTCGAGTCTTTCCTCGTGTCCACGATCCTAGATATTTGCTTCACGTTGTTCTTGTTCACGTCCAAGTGGGCCGAGTCCGGCGACATCTTCTTCTCTTCCTGCTTCTTCTTCCTCTTGCACTCGTCCTTCGCGAAAAATTTGATGAACCTGTTCCTCTGCCCCTCGTTCTTCGATCCCTTCTCACGGCTCGAAGCCTTCTCCAAGAACGCTCCCGAGTCGTCCGTCTGCCCGTACTCGTCGCTGCTCAAATCGGACTCCGAGGACTTGACCAACAGGCTGTCGGGAGAATTTGTCTTTCGTTCCTCGTCGGAGAAGTTCTTGTGATCGAACTTTCCGACCAGATTGCCCAGATTTTTCCTCTGAGGGCCAAGCTTCGAATCATGATCCTCGTAATGCCTCCTGTAATCCTCGTCGACACGAGGAAACAAGGAGTAATCCGGCACGGATCTCCTTTCGATCCTCATCTCTCGCCGATAATCCAAATTTCTCGCATTCTCGTTGGTGTCCAATTTTCGTAAAAATTCCGACCTTCTCACGAGTCTTTGAACGTTGTTGAACGGTTTCGGCTCGATCTTCCTCGACTCGTTCTCCGAGATTTCCGAGGGGTCGACGAATTGGGAGAGGATCTCCGGCCGGTGCTTGGGCTTCTTTCGCAGGGTCGTTGGAAGTTCCGCCCAGTTGCTCGACAATCTTTTCGAGAAGATTCCTTCTGTGTCGGACACTTCTCTCTCCATTTTCGCTAGTCGATGTTGGACAGTCGGTTGGACGATGGGATTGAATACATTTGGACTAGTTTAGACGAGGTATGAGGCAACCATTTTGGTTCAACGTCCGCGAGTTTGTTCAGGAAGATGGTTCCATGAATTTCAGATGTTGATCTGGTTATTAAATATTCAGGTTTTGATCCGATTTTCGTTAACGTGGCCAGTTATTGAACGTACCGTGCATATCTTTGTAATTTATTGTTTATGATAAATTTTTTATGTTTTTTTAAATAAGCAAAGTTTCTTCTGCTTCTTTTCTTTTTCTAGCCTAATATTCTACGAGATATTCAACTTTCAATTTTTGAGTTTCAAATATTATTGTTTCGTCTAGTTACAATCTATAAAATATATTTTATAGAGCTTCTTTATGAAGATACGTTCGTAATTTTGCGAAGAGATAATACAAATACACGAAATCATGATCGATAATTGTCATCTCCTCGATGCGAAGTATTAATTTTTGAATTTTTTTTTTTTTTTTTTGTTTTAATTTTACGCGTCGAGCATCGAAACGAGAAACACAAAGCCTCATGAATTTTCATAAGCGGCTTAATCCTCTTTTGGTCTCGATGTCGTAAAAATAACCGCTGACATAAGTGTCTTTTTTGTCGCGGGTACAGAACGCGACAGAATTTCAAACGATGCAACCTGAAACATCCGCGAAATACTTTCAAGCTTGGTCTTTGTATAACACACGCTACCAAGCACGACGAACGCATGGAAATTACATTTCATCGAATATAATTGACCTTGATTCCTCGAACCGAGCATCTTTTACGCCCGGCGACCATGAACTTTCTTCGGCCACCAATTGGCAGACCAATTCGGTGCTAATTAACGAGAGAAAAGGAAATCATGTGAAGCCAGCCAACAATACTCAAAAATACGCGGAGAAACTCGATTATAATTGCCCGGAATGATATATTAATAAAGGTGTTTTAACGAGTTTTTCTTGAAAAACTTGTGAAAACTAACTAAGGATATTGGTCTCGTTCATTATTTTCAATTCAATCTCCAATTGAATATGTCGTAGAATATGTTTTTTTACACTTTAGTCGCTACAAAATTTACACAGGATTTCTATTTTTTTCTTCTAATAATTAGCTCAGAAAAATTTGTTTCCAGAATGATTGAATTGACTTTTGAAGACAAATGGAAATAGGAAAAAATATAAATCGTAGTTTGCCTCCGCAAAAATTACAATACAAAAGATTAATTATCATTTAATTGAAGAAAAAAATTAAATCAACGTTCATTAGCTTTCTGAGAAAGCAACTTATAGTGCATTATTTGGATCTTATATATATATATATATATTTATTTCGACGATTTCTTCTTCTCTTCAATTGAAATTATTCATTCAGAATTTCGAAAAGGAAGAATCGAGTATCGAAGAGAAACGAGAAACTTATAATCGAATAAATGTTCGCTGTAAAAAGATCTCGAGTATTAACGATCTCATTTTTTTTTAAAGAAAAAGATATTTTACCACGATTTCTATGGATGCGTGTTTCGTTACCTCGATAACGAGCCAAATCTCGAAAAAAAAAAAAAAAAAAAAGGAAGAAAAATTCCGTAGAATCGTCCTCGTTATGGCACGCGAAGTCGAATCTGGATCACGGAAGAAGGACCTTCCTCAGGGCCTCGTGAGAAGAGCCGCGAAGAGGGGCTGTTGCGTGGGAGCAGAGGAACAATATACACTTTTCATTGTAATTATTTCGCGCTAACAAACTCACCGTCGGTGAATGAGAAAGGCCTATGCTTTCGTGGAAACGGACGGGTTATCGGAATGGAAAAGGGTTGTCTTCGCTTTTAATGAAAACTCGCTTTCCCCTTTAGCGTGGAAGAAAGTAGATACGAGTAGTAATAAATAATCGAACTATGGTATTTTTATTTCCTTCGAAAGAAAATTTTAGTAGTTTTACTTTTTAATTCAAATAATCATTGAGATATATGATTCGTGAAAAATGTTAGTTTCTTCGGTTTTTATCACGGTTCGTGATTTTACAATTTGATGAAATATCGTATTGTATTAATTGTTTTTTGAAAGTGATCATCGCTATCTCACTATTGAGAAACTGAATTAAATTTTCAGAGGAAACGATTCAACAATTCGAGAAAGGATTCTTAAGTCGAGTATATGGGAACACAATTGGGTTATCTAAACTTTTTGAATTGAATTCAATTTCTGTCTTTCAAACGCTTGGTTTTGAATTTGGTTAGAGAATATTTCAATGAACGTCCTGTTTATTATTATTCAAGAATTTATGCAACGTCGAGGGTAGGATATAGATGTACAGAACCCAGATTCAAATAGATAGCTCGAAACTCGATGGTTAAGGAAAAAGTAGAAAACGGAATCCAGTCATTCTTAGTCAGTATGTCACTATACTAATGGAATGAACATCTTCTGACCCACATAAAATCTCTCGTTTCACATTAATTCTATCGTGAACGTGCATACGAACGAGCATCAATGATGCAAGCAATGTTAATCCATCTTTGCTTATTTATTACTCTACAATTATTCCTTTCCTCAAATGTTGTTTAAAATTATAATTTATTTTATCCATTTCTGCCTTCATTTAAAATATTTTCTGACAAGTATAATTTGTTCGTGTCTTATCGAACTTGTTTTTTTTTTTAAAAAATTCGAGTATTTTTCGTGACTAATTCTAATCGATAAAAAATTGTGCTTTCAAGGATACAAAATTAAGAAACCTTTTTTTTTCTTTTTCCTTTTTCCTTTGCTAACAGTTTTCTGAATATTCGTTCCGCAAAAGAATACAGAACAATCGACGAAGAAACAGCTAATTAGCATTGTGTTGTTCTGCTCTGTTGCATGGCTCTAATTAAATGACAAGCACTGTGCCTTTTACATAGATCACGATTCAGTTAACAGGCGATTTTACAAAAATCATTCTTCCAAAAAGTGCTTCTAAGAAATTTTTCTTCGAGAACTTACGTTTCCACCTTTTAAACAATTATTTTCTTCCGAGAGAATTCGCGGGTATTTTTATTCTTATTTCCCTCCCCCTCCCCTCCAAATTTTTACAGAATAGAAAGTTGATCAAAATCTAATCTATCTAATTTACTTCAACCAAACTTTTTCGATTAAATTTTGAATGCATATAAAAAAATTTTCGAAAAACAAATTAAATTGCATAATTACCCGGATATTTCATCCAAATCATCCCTCTCTCCCCGAGCAAATTTAATAATGACAAGGAAACTATGTGTCATTAAGTTGTGTTACTTGGCCGCGGTGTTGAAAATTTATGGCCGTTCAATGACTATTATTTCCACCTCGGCCAAAGATCGATATCTTCGATAGAGGCTGGTTTGGTATGCCGCCAGCAACTACGCAACTATCCAAGGAACGCGTAAACCTGCGTACAGGAGGATCGTTAACGATCTCGGATGAGGTTTGCGTAAGGAAGATCACGATCGCACGCCTATTTTTTCCTTCTTGCGGCCGTTTCTTTATCGGTGGAACACCGATGGAAAATAGACGATGCTTTGCAATTCCCTTTATAATTTCGCATATGGATGACGTTCTTATCCTTGAACGTTAACGTTTCTTGATGAATTTCGAAACGTCTGTTTACAGAACAGAATTATTATCAACTCGTAGACGCTTCATCCCCTTCGAACGAGACGATAACGTGATAACGAATAAATTATTATGGATTGTCGCGTTTGAAGAAAGAGAACAAACGATGAATTATTCAAAGCGAACAAGTGTTTAAGATTGGTGCATGCGGAAATTTTTTCAATTTCACTTGAAGAGCTTGGTATAAGATTTATGTATTATTAAATTGTTGTTAATCGTATTAATACGCGTTTTATGATATAATTATTATTTATTACTAGATAATTATTCGTAAATATTGATATATTTAAATTGTTTATCTAAATGAGACGAAATCCCCTACGAATCGGATACATTGATTTGGCAATAACAAATTTTAATTTGACAAAAATTTTATCAACAAAAATATTAAGTCACGATTCTTTTTTTTATTTTATCCCATAATATAATATAAAGTTACGTTATATTTTATACAGTAATAGTATAATGTTACTTTATATAACATGGAACGTTATGTAAAGCTACTTCATGAATATTAAATTCTATGAATATTTAATTCTAGACAGTATAAATCTTATAAATATAATCAGATAATAATAAGGTTTGTTTAAACATTGAAGAAAATTTTATTTCGATTGAAATATATGAAATTTCGATATTTAATATGGAATTCTATTAATTCTTTCAAAGATATCGTAATTAATTAAGAATATCTCTCGGTATTCAGGTCCAAAAATTATCGTGCATAATAATTAGTAATATTTCCTCGATTTCTTCGTGGAACAAGATCTACTTTCCCGCAAGAGATTTGCGGATCGATTAAAGCGAACTTTCGATTCCTTGACGAGCCGAGTACAAGTAGAGTAATGAAGTTTAGCAAAGTGTCTTTGCTTTTTCAGATGCGCATCATTTTTTTTAAATCTTACATCCCTCTTTTTGCTCAACTATCATTAGAACAGAATTTCTCGCGGCGAAATTCCACTTCTTAATCTGATGAAAATTACAGGCTGTGAAGATAATAAAATGATGATTCTTGGCAGAAATGAGTTCATCAACGTTATTGTTGTAAAAGTAATGGCAAAATAGAGATTACAAATTTAGAACAAAAGGTTCAGTTGATCGAGCAAATAAATTTTTTAAAATATTTTTTTCATGTAGAACTCAAATAAAGTAATTTCTTTTAAAATTTCGATTTTTGAAATTCAAAATTCGTGATCGATTAAAGTCGATCAACGTAGCAGATATCCTTTTGATTCACGAGAGATTTCGCGTTTTAATAAAATTTCAATATTTGAAAGTTTCACTCGGACAACAGATGGTCGAGTTGTCCGAGACAGATGGCAAAGTTTTTCGTTCGCATTCAATATGTTTACTCAAA